CATGGCGGTATGTGACGCATGGACGCATAAATAGCACGTCGAATGGCTGTGTCAGATAAACCGGAAGGTTGGATAAGCGAAGGTCGGATAATCAGGACTACTGTACACCCACATCTTGCATACTGTATGCAGATGTAGTTGCCTTATCTCAAAAAAAAATGTATCTTGGCATAGGGCCAAGAAAAAGGCAATAAAATAATTTGGGATATGGAATGACTGCCACCTGGGGAGAGAGTGATAAAACTGGGACTTTTCAGCTTGGAAGACAGACAAAAAAAAGGGGGATATGATAGAGGTCTATAGAATCATGAATGGGTGTAGAGGAACTAAATAAGGCCAAGTTTCTTTGGTCCCACAACACAAGAACTAAGGGTTACCAAATGAAATTAATAGGTAGAAGGTTTAAAACAAACAAAAGGAAGTATTTCTTCACATAACCTGTGGAACTCTGTCAGAGGAGGTTTTGAAGGCCATAATTTTAACAGGGTTCAGAATAAAAGCTAGATAAATTCATGGAGGATAGGGTCCATCAATGGCTATTAGTCAGGATGGGCTATTGGTCAGGATGGGTGCCCCTAGTCTCTGTCAGAAGCTGGGAATGACCAACAGGAGATGGATCACTTGATGATCATGTGTTCTGTTCATTCCTTTTGGGACACCTGGCATTGGCCACTGTTAGAAGACAGAATACTGGGCAGGATGGACCTTTGTTCTGGCCTGTGTGGCCATTCTTATGTTACTGGTAGTTCTAGTTTATGCCTAGTGAACTTCTATTATAGAGATGTCTTGATCCAGAACAGAGGACTCCCTCTCCAGACATGAACTTCCCCACCTCTCAGAGATTTGGATCTGGATTAGGGCAATCTCTTGTTTTAGGAACTTAAACTGTTTGTTTTTTATGGCTAGTTTTATCTGGGTTGGAGTTTTCTGGCTCTACACTAGGTATTATTGTGACGGACCCTCCCCACCCCCCGCTTTAGGAAATGGACTTTGGAAACAAATATGCAGAACTCAAATATGCTTGGGACAAACTGCCTCATTAACCTATCAATCCTACTGTCATAATCCAGAAGTTCCGAACAAACGGTCTGTGGACCGGTGCCAGGCTGGGAACCGCTGGCTTCCAGGCTGAAACGGCTCTGGGGGACAGGGCTTCAATACACCACCCGGTACCTGCATGGAATTTACTTGCTCTAGTAAGTAGGATTTGACCTACTCATATTTTATTTTGTACAGCAGCAGTTTCCAACCACTGTGCGGTGGGAGGGCTGTGTGGAGCCTGGCACAGCAGCCTTAGAGCAGCCACAGCCTAGGTATCAGTGATTAGTTGGCAGCTTGGAGGCAGTACAGGGTTAGGTGAGGGGAGTGGGGCGGGGCTCTGACAGTGGAGGGCACCAGCCCTCTGGGATGGAGAGTTAGCAATGGGGAGGGGGGCTAAGAGTGGGGAGCTGTGGGGGCAGGATTGGCATGGGGGGGCTCTGGGGATGGGGCTAATATTGAGGAGTGGGAGCTGGCACTGGGGTGGGCTCTGGGAGGGTTGGGTGCAGTGGGGCTCTGGAAACAGGAGGCTGGCACTCAGGATCAGGTGGTGGGAGGCTGGTAATGAGGTATTGGGATGGGGGTCTGGCATTCAGGGGGCTTGGAGGATGGGAGGCTGGCACTGGGGAGGGCTGGGTGCAAGGGACTTGGGTCAGTGGCTGGTGCTGGTGGTAGTGGAGAGGTGGTTGGCATTGAGGGGCTCTGTGGACTGGGGCTTTTGAAGGACTGGTAACAGTTTTTTGCATATTAATTATTTGCATAAAATGTTATCAGTCTGCTAAAAGTTTGTGAATGGGTTTGCCATGCAGCAGTATAAAAAGAGTTGTGAACCAGTCATAGATTGGTATATCTTACTTTGATGTACGTATCAGTCTTGTGTGTCAAGTTAGCTATATGGTGAATAGAATGGTTTATGGATTTAAAAGTGCAAAGGCAAGTCATAAAGCATCTTTCCCTCAAGGTCTGGTCAACTGTAAACTGCCTCTTTTGTCTTTTAAGTCTTTAAGAAAAGCCTGTTGAGAGTCTATGGGTCAAGTTTAGAGGTGTAAGCAACAGCAGTGATGTTGTGGTTGGTGTCTGCTACAGGCTGCCGAATCAGGTGGATAAGGTAGATGAGGCTTTCTTAGAACAACTGAGAGAAGTTTCCAGATTGCAGGCCCTGGTTCTCATGGGGGAATTTAATCACCCTGACATCAGTTGGCAGACCAATTCAGCAGTACACAGACAATCCAGGAAGTTTTTGGAGAATGTTGGGGATAACTTCTTGATACAAGTGCTGCAGGATCAGACCAGGGGCCGTCCCCAGCTTGCCCTGCTGCTCACAAACAGGGAGGAACTAATAGGGGAAGTAGAGGTGGGTGACAACCTGGGAAGCAGTGATCATGAGATGGTAGATTTCAGGATCCTGACCAAAGGAGGAAAAGAGAGAAAGTAAAATACACACCTTGGATTTCAGGAAAGCAGACTTTGACTCCCTCAGAGACCTGATGGGCAGAATCCCCTGGGATGCTAATATGAAGGGGAAAGGAGTCCAGGAGAGTTGGCAATATTTTAAAGAAGCCTTATTGAAGGCATATACAGAAACCATTCCAATGCGTAGCAAGAAAAGCAAATATGGTAGGAGACCGGATTGGCTCATCGGGGAAATCCTTGGTGAACTTAAGCACAAAAAGGGAGCTTACAAAAAGTGGAAACTTGGACAGATGACTAGAGAGGGATATACATGTATAGCTCAAAACTACCGGGGAGTTATCAGGCACTCGAAAGCGCAATTGGAATTTCGTAAGGGATGTGAAGGATAACAAGAAAGGTTTCTATAGGCATGTTAGCAAGAAGAAGGTGATCAGAGAGGATGTGGGGCCCCTACTGGATGAGGGCAGTAACCTAGTGACAGATGATGTGGGGAAAGCTGAAGTACTTAATGCTTTCTTTGCCTCTGTCTTCACAGACAAGGTCAGTTCCCAGACTAATGCGCTAAGTGACACAATATGGAATGAACATAAGAATGGCCGTACTGGGTCAGACCAAAGGTCCATCTAGCCCAGTATCCTGTCTACTGACAGTGGCCAGCACCAGGTGCCCCAGAGAGGGTGGACCGAAGACAATGATCAAACGATTTGTCTCCTGCCATCCTTCTCAAGGACACCATTTTATCCCCTGGCTAATAGCCTTTTATGGACCTAACCTCCATGAATTTATCCAGCTTCTCTTTAAACTCTATTATAGTCCTAGCCTTCACCGCCTCCTCTGGCAAGGAGTTCCACAGGTTGACTACACGCTGTGTGAAGAAGAACTTTCTTTTATTAGTTTTAAACCTGCTACCCATTAATTTCATTTGGTGTCCTCTAGTTCTTCTATTATGGGAACTAATAAATAACTTTTCTTTATCAGCCCTCTCCACACCACTCATGATTTTATAGACCTCTATCATATCCCCCCTCAGTCTCCTCTTTTCTAAACTGAAAAGTCCCAGTCTCTTTAGCCTCTCCTCATATGGGACCCGTTCCAAACCCCTAATCATTTTAGTTGCCCTTTTCTGAACCCTTTCCAAGGCCAAAATATCTTTTTTGAGGTGAGGAGACCACATCTGTACACAGTATTCAAGATGTGGGCGTACCATAGTTTTATACAGGGGCAGTAAGATATTCTGGGTCTTATTTTCTATCCCTTTCCTAATAATTCCTAGCATCCTATTTGCCTTTTTGACCGCCGCTGCACTCTGTGTGGAAGTTTTCAGAGAACTGTCCACGATAAATCCAAGATCTTTTCTGATTTGTCGTAGCCAAATTAGCCCCCATCATACTGTACGTATAGTTGGGGTTATTTTTCCCGATGTGCATTACTTTACACTTATCCACATTAAATTTCATTTGCCATTTTGTTGCCCAATCACTCAGTTTGGTGAGATCTTCTTGGAGTCCCTCACAGTCTGCTTCTGTCTTGACTATGCTAAACAAACGTGTTGTTTGTTTATCAAGGTGTTGCCTCTTATCTTAGCTAGCACATACATCCTGACTAGTTTTCCCTCAGGCAGCCACTCAAGAGATTCAAATGATGCCTAGCTGATTAGCAGAATGTCCAAAGCTAGGTTTGTGTTTCTCCTGGTAGTGCACATTCATCCGCCTCTAAGACCAGCTCTGTGTACTATGCCTCCATTCAGTGTAGCTTTGTTGTATGGAAAATAAAGGAACCTGAGTGTTGAAATCCATAGGTGCTGGATCTCAGAGAAATAGTGTGTTCTTCCAGGACTGGGCAAGTTGTTCTGGATAAGTCAAATGGAAAACGTCTCAGAGGGAATCCCAACAACACTACACTGCTGCTTTTGCAATGTATGTCCTCAGGTAAAATAGCCGTGTTAGTCTGGTCTTGCTGAAACAAAAGACAGGACTATGCAGCACTTTAAAGACCTGAGGAAGTGGGTCTGGCCCACGAAAGCTCATCACCTAATAAACCATCTTGTTAGTCTTTAAATTGCTGCATGGTCCTGTCTTGTATTTCCTCAGGTGTGAGCTGTCATGTTACACTGGATACACCATGTATGACTTCTATAACAAGGATGAGACATTCTATTGATGACCCAAGAATAAAAGCTCAAATTATTTTTAAGCGAGGCAGTTGCTATGTCAATTACAATTAAAATGCACACAGTCTCAGTTTTAGGATACAAGATCTTTGCAGGCTGGTAATTTGGGAATAAAAGCTTGCATATTCACAGCATTTACCTTGAACTGTCTGATGCAATGCAATGTACACCTCATCTACACAGGTTATGCCGAGTTCTGTGCCATACTAAATACACATTATGGTTTTAAACCTCTGACAATTAAACACACAGCAGCTTTGTTTGCTTTAAAACATGTAAAGTGCTCAAATAGCACAGCGAAAAAGGTATATACAAATATAATTTCATGTGGCAATAAACCAGACCGAAATATGTTTTAAAATGTATTTTTATTTACATAGTGGAAAATGCCTAATCAGTTATAAATGTAGGCACCTGATAATTCAGCTTGTTTTGTAAAAGTATATAAATATATACATGAAATTCTATGAAGTAAACATTAGAAACTGTGATACTTATAGTAAATATTCACTACTCTTTTCTAGGCTAATAGGTGTCTCATAAAGCTTAAATACTGATTTCAAGTATCCCCTATAAAATTGCTTTACTATATCAAAATACTGAAAAAAAAAAGATCTGCTATAAACAAGTTTTTAAAATAGACCAATAAAATGTCCCTGTAAGAAAGTTCACCAGAATAAAATACTTCCTTATTTTCCCAACCTCCTCCTCCTGCAGCAGAAAAACACTAAAAAAATAGCTGCATACCCACAGAAGGCATTATTGCATTTTTTAATTGATTTTAATTTCAGTAATTTATCATAGAATAAGGAAGCTGCAAAATGCAACTTTACTAAATATTTTTCCTGGTATATAAAGAACCCCAACACTATGGAGAGGGGAGAAGTAGTGGTACTACAATGTCTTGCCCTTTACCATGTATTATAGGTGGCATGAAGGCCTGACTGCATAGAAGAGATGGTTGATGAGAATGAAAAGAAGGACTGGGATAATATTGGCAAAACTAACAAAATACAGGTGGTCCCCGACTTACGAACACACTGACGTATGACCATCCGCACTTACGACCAACCTCCCATACAGCCGGTCCCCGACTTACGAACAGTGATCCGCGCTTACAAACGCGCTTATTGAACGCTCATTTCAATGAATGGGGACTGACTTACGAAGAGATCGAGTTACAACCAAATGTCACTGATGCTTTTTTAAAAGCACTTTAGACTTTGGTATTTTATTTGCCTCTCTGCTGTTCTTCAGCTTGGAGATGTTTTAGGACATGGAGGACAACTTGATAGCAGAAAATGTACTGATCCTGCGAAAGGACAAATCATAAACACATGAAACAAAATGTTCACACTAGCCAAACGAGCCAGCTTCTACCTGTGAATTCCTTATTTGAATACCATTGCATATAGTTTATTAAGAAGAGAATATGACGAGTGCATAGTATATGACAACATTTAAAGAGAACAAGGGGGTCAAGAATGGGCTGCCCAGTTTTCAAGTGTATTTCATGTGGATTTGCCTTCTGATTAAATATTCAGTTTTATTCCTAATCCTCCCCCCATATTTGTGCTAATATTGGGTTTGTCATTTGCAGACCCCAGAGCAGCTTACAAATGGAAAGGAAAGGGAGGCACAAACAAGTGAAGTGACTGGCCCATGATCACTCAGCAAGTCTGTGGCAAAGCTGAGAATAGAGCCCAGATCTGTTATGTGACCTCCCAGTTTACAATAATGATACTATAGGGTTTGGGGCTATTACTGGACAATTCTGTACCTTTTATTAAATAAGGTTTGAGAGCTCCCTGATCTTATATTCACTGTCTTCTCTAGGTTCAGGTTAGAAGGCCTTTTTAACTTTTTTCAATCCTAAAAGCCATTCATGCAATTACCATAATGCTAATGGATAACAACAGCAGATATACTACAATTGCTTTTTTAGCCTTAGAACAGGTTAAAGGCACTAATGTGCTATTATGATATTATTTCCAGTAGAAGTAAAAGTTACTTGCCTTTTGTAACTTGTTCTTCAAGATGTGTTGCTCGTGTCCATTCCAATATGTGTGTGCGTGTGCCATGTGCATGATAATTGGAAGACTTTTCCCCAGCAGTACCCATCAGGTCAGCTGTGGTGACCCCTGTGGAGATGCCTTGTGGTGTCATATATATGCCTCCTGCTAACCCATCTCCCACTCAGTTCCTTCTTGTCAAAACAGTTCGACAAAGGGTCTGGAATGGATATGAACAGCACATCTTGAAGAACAATGTGTACAAAAGGTAAATAACCGATCTTTCTTCTTCGAGTGATCGCTCATGTGCATGGCAATGTGTGACTTACCAGCAGTTTATACGGAGGAGGGATTGAACCTCAACTCATTGCTGAGTGCAATACAGCTCTGCCAATCATGGCCATAGTGCACACAGATGAGTCCAAGTCAAGGGCCTTTTGCTGTCTTAGTGATCATGAGACTTTCCTGCAGCAATGCTAAGAAGTACTGCTGGATGTGTGAGGGGAGAAACTCCTGGAAATCGGAGAGGGTGTTCGAGGAGTTAAATGCGTAGCAAGTGAGGAGCACCTTCTAGTTCGAGACCCACAGCTGAACCCCCTAGTCAAACAGATCTTGCACCCACCTAGGTCCAGCATCTTGGAGTCCTTATTTTTTGGGGCAGGACCAGGTTGTCCCTGAGGCTCAGTGGTTCATAGCATCCATCTAATGGGCCTGGTTGGGAATTGGTGTAAAAGTGCTCAGACCTCTTCTGCGGCACAAAGTAGCACTTCTCCACAACCTTGACTGTGGGCACAACAGAGGCTGGGATCTGCTAGAGCACCTTTGTAGTGGTCTGAGTTGACTAAATGGGAGGCAGAGCTACCTGTGCCGGACCATTGTGTGAAAGAACATCCATGACTGGATCGGACTCTTCAACCACCTCCTCCGCTGGACCTTGGGCCACATACCTGAACAGGTCCTGGTGACCTGAGAGCCTATTGATGGAAAGGACAAGGTGGTACCCACCACTTCCTTGTCTGGTGATAATGGGGAGGCCATTGGGGGAACAGGGTCATCCTGGCACTCTTGATCTCCTTCCATGTCCCCTACTGGCTGGGGGTCAGGAAGAGGAGCCGTTGGTTTGGCCACAACCATAGCATGTTCCTCCTGCCCCTTGGGGTCCTGAATGGGAGGTGAGGCCTGGGTGGAGGCTGCCAAAAGGATGGACCTGGCCCTTGTCCAAAAGGGCCATTGGATAAATGCCTGCCATTGGTATAGTAGACAAATATAATCTCATGTTGAAATAAAACAGACCGTTGGGAGTCCAGGCCTGTGTTGGTGTTGTCAGTGCCTTCGGGTGTCGGTGGTTGGAGTGGTTCCATGAGCTCCAGGACACCAGGGATTCTGCCTCTGACTCATACTTTGAGGTTGTCTGTGAAGGGCCTGACCCAGACAGTGCTGGGGATCAGTACTGAGGAGAGCATGCATGGACACTCATGGCAGCGGGCTTCCCACAGTGCCTCGATGCTGAAAATGTCACTGGTGCTGGGACAGGTGGCGGAGCCATAGCAGGTACTTAAAGCAGTGCCTTGAGTGCTGGGCCCAGTGCCAGGTAGGACCCTTGCACTCAGACTACCAGTGCCAAAGCCACAGGTGCAGTTGGCAGTGCTACTGATGCTATTGAGGCAGGAGCCACTGGTACTGTCAGTACTGCAGAGGGGAGGTGCTGTGTCTCGAACGGGGCCATTGTTGTCAGTTCAATGAGGTCCCACGCGGCCTCTAATGTGTCACTAGGGAGGGAAGGTTGAAGACCTCCTCCACCGGCACCATGGAATCCACTGACACTGGACTTGATGGACTTGTCCTCAAGGCTGTAGTTGACAACGCTGGGCTACGTCTACACTTCAAAGTAGGAATAAGAGATCCTCTGGAATAGGGCTTTATTCCGGAGGATCGGGCCAGTCTAGACGCTTTTTTTCCGGCTTTTCCCCAAGCCGGAAAAAAAGCGGCGGCCATGTTTATTTAAATCCGCGGGGGATATTTAAATCCCCCGCGGATTTCCCTATTCCCACTTTCAAAATTAGCATGCCCCTTCCGAAAAAGGGGCCAGTGTAGACATAGCCCTGGAGTGGAAGTATTTGGCCGAGGCAAGCTGGGCATGGTGCAGACTGACTCTGGTGCCTTTCTAGACATCCTTGAGGGGGTTAACCCCAGTTTCTTCTCTTCTTTTTGTGCGGCACTAGGGAATGGGACTGGTGCCGGGAGCGCGAGCCAGTTTTTTGTTCCGAGGAACAGTGCTGCTGCTGATCTTTGGGGCATAGAACTCAAGTCTTGTGCATCGAGGCCAGCGTGCTCAGCACCAATAATGTCAGAGTGTCTGGCCGAGGCCAAAGTGTCGACTCCATGAGGATCGGTTTAAGTCGCTGATCCCTGCCCCACACTCGCCCCACCAAAGGTGAAATCCAGCTCCAGAAGAGGGCATGGAGAAAGCTGCATCAGATAGCAGCCAGTTAGGGCTCAGCTGAGGCTGTATAAATAAGAGATCCCGGAGAGGAGAGAACTCACTCTTGCTCAATCAGTGAAGCAAGAGGGACCTGACTGCTAGGGAAGCTGTTGAAACTTCCTGAGACAGAGCAGGGCTGGGGAAGGGCAGGCAGAGCTGGGGAGCTCTGCCCAGGCAAACTCCCAGGCTGAGGCCTTGTTCTCATAAGAACGGCCATAGTGGGTCAGACCAAAGTCCATCTAGCCCAGTGTCCTGTCTTCCAACATTGGCCAATGCCAGATGCCCCAGAGGGAGTGAACAGAACAGGCAATCATTATGTGACACCCCTCCCCCCCGTCATCCATTTCCAGCCTCTGAAAAACAGAGATCTTTTTGAAGCTCTTCAGAGTCTGCTTTGGTCTTAACTATCTTGAGTAGTTTAGTATTATCTGCAAATTTTGCCACCTCACTATTTACTCCTTTCTTCAGATCATTTATAAATAGGTTAAATAGGATTGGTCCCAGTATGGACTCTTGGGGGCACTATTAATTACCTCTCTCCATTCTGAAAACTTACCGTCTATTCCTACCCTTCGTTTCCTGTCTTTTAACCAGTTACCAGTCCATGAGAGGACCTTCCCTCTTACCCCATGACAATTTACTTTACTTAAGAGCGTTTGTGGGGGACCTTGTCAAAGGCTTTCTGGAAATCTAAGTACACTATATCTACTGGATCCCCTTTGTCCACATGTTTGTTGACCTCCTCAAAGAACTCTAGTAAATTAGTAAGGCATGATTTCCCTTTACAGAAACCATGTTGACTTTTGTCCGACAAATTATGTTCTTCTATGTGTCTGACAATTTTATTCTTTACTATTGTTTCAACTAATTTGCCCGGTACTGATGTTAAACTTCCCAGTCTGTGATAGTCAGGATCACCTCAAAAGCCCTTTCTAAATATTGGTGTCATATTAACTACAGGCAGTCCCCAGGTTACATGGATCCGACTTACATCGGATCCCTACTTACAAACGGGGTGAGGCAACCCCGCACTAGCTGCTTCCCCCCAGCAGACCAGGGAGACGCGAAGCTAGAGCCCCCCACAGCAGACCAGGGAGACGCGGAGCAGCTTTTCTCAGCAGACACCTCAGCTTGAGACTAAATGACTGAGGGAAGTGAGCTGTGGGAGAATAAAACTGAGCTCTGGAGAAATGTTTGGCTAGAGTTTCCCCTACAATATGTACCAGTTCCGACTTACATACAAATTCAACTTAAGAACAAACCTACAGTCCCTATCTTGTACGTAACCCGGGGACTGCTGTATATTCCACTCATTAGGTACGGAAGCTGGTTTAAAGGATAGGTTACGAACCACAGTTAATAGTTCTGCAATTTGTCATCTGAGTTCTTTCATAACTCTTGGGTGAATGCTATCTGGTCCCAGTGACTTGTTGCTGTTAAGTTTATCAATGTGTTCCAAAATCTCCTCTAATTACACCTCAATCTGGGACAATTCCTCAGATTTGTCATCTAAAAACAAGGGCTCAAGTTTGGGAATCTCACTGACATCCTCACCTGTGAACACCGAACCAAAGAACTCATTTAGTTTCTCCACAATGACTTTATCATCGTTGAGGGCTCCTTAAGCACTTTGACTGTTCTGGGGCCCCACTGGTTGCTTAGCCCGCTTCTTGCTTCTGATGTACTTAAAAAACATTTTGTTATTACTATTTGTGTTTTTGGGTAGCTGTTCTTCACACTCCTTTTTAGCTTTTCTTATTATATTTTTATACTTAATTTTTGGAGAGCTTATGCTCCTTTCTATTTCACTAGGATTTAACTTACACTTTTTAAACAATGCCTTTTTTATCTCTCACTGGTTCTTTTACTTGGTTGTTAAGCCACTGTGGCACTTTTTTGGTTTTCTTACCATGTTTTTTAATTTGGGATGTACATTTAAGTTGGGCTTCTATTATGGTGTCTTCGAAAAGTATCCATGAAGCTTGTAGAGATTTTACTTTTGTCACTGTACCTTTTAATTTCTGTTTAAGTAACCTCATTTTTGTGTAGTTTCCCTTTCTGAAATTAAATGCCACAGTGTTGGGCTGCTGAGGTGTTTTTCCTACCACAGAGATGTTAAATTGTATTACATTATGGTCGCTATTCTCAAGGCCTGACGGTACTAGGGCTGCAGGGAGACAACCAGGTTAGAAGAAAGCAGCAGGTCCACACCCCCTTGCCAATGATGAGTGGCCATTTCAGACTGCAGCTTGCCTGAGGTAGGGTCTAAATGACGACTGGCAGTGGGCCACTAAGGCAAGATGGGCATAAGGAACTCTCTGGGAGAGGAGGACCCAAGAATGCAGGGGCACTGCTGTAGGGCACTATTGGGAGGAAAGGGCACCATAGACATGCAAGGACACAGGGCCTGAACCACTGCAGGTGACGTAACTGAGGGTGAGACACTGGCCAGCAGAAGGCACTCCAAGGCTGTAGACCTAATTCCCAGAGAGACCAGCAAGAGGTGCCGTGGCAGTGAGTCACAACCCCATTAAAGTCCCTTTAATTTTTAGTTTGCAGCTTAACCCCCTCCCCCTGCAGATACTGCACTTATCTAGCAGGTAACTATCTCTGAGACATTTCAAGTAGGTGGGGTGAGGAACCCCCTTTGGGCATATGCCTGTCACACTCTGCATGCTGCTTGAAACCCTGGGCCTGCTGCATGCCTCAGGAGCATGAACAATAGGAGGTGGAACCATCCCTAAACTAAATATTCTAAGGTAATTCAAACAAACAACTAATATACACTACAAAAAGAACTGAAGACAACTATGCTAGGGATTAACTACTTGCAAAGCAAGAAGTCAAAATCTCCAATGATCGGAACTGGCAAAATGAAGGAACCGAAGCAGCAGTTGGGCCTGCAAGGATATATGTATGGCACCATGATGCATCAACACAAGGGGCGCCACAGTCTATCTGACAGGTTCCAGTAGGGAATGTCTACCAATGACTGTGTACGTACCATGCACACACACATATTGGAATGCACATGAGCAATGACTTGAAGAAAAAGTCACAATGGAACATGGAATTTAATTCAATAATTCTAGAATAAGACTATATCAGATTGTTTATAGCCCACATTAACACAGTTCACTATATGAAAATGTGTACAACTTTGTACTTGTTTGCATGTACTTGTATTTGCATGTGGGGAAGCATGTCAAAAATTACATGCGTTATTACGAATTCTGTCCCTATATTAGTATTTGATTTCACTCCAGCAACATCAAGGTTGAGTTTATAGGGTACAAAGTGTAGGGTAAAAATTTCTGAGGCAGGCTATGATATTCTATTAAGAACCCCTATTCTAAATTTCCAGTCTGAAGCTGGCACACAAACAGAGTACATGATGGTTACCCCTCTCCCACTCCCACCTAGCCCATGGAAGAAAGGCCATCATAGAGCTTTTCCAGGATGCGAGACAGGACATGACACATTCAGTGGTGCTAGGAACAAATGTGCCATTGTCAAATACTCCTAATGTCTCTGTTTAATCCCCAGATGAACCACATCCATGCAGAGGCACCTTCTTGAAGCTGACAGACATATCCCCAAATGGACCACATCTAGGCAGAGACACCTCCTTGAAGCTGACAGACATAACCCACTTAACACATAAATGATCATTGATGTCTGCTTTGTTTAAATACTTGTTTTACTAGATGTAAGGTATTATGTAAACTATGGGCGGAAACACTATGTAACTTTATATTATTGCTCTTATTTTGCCTCACAATTAGCACCTATCCTGGGGTCAAGGATCTTACCCCCTCCCCCATCACTTGAACTGCCCATTAAGCATCCTATATAATTAATTGTAATCTATGGTCTGGCAATGTTCACTGAGCTTAGCAAGTGACGTGACACTCTGCCAGCACTGTGTGTGTAATAAACTCTCCTGCTTGCTTGAGTTATTCTACTGTGTTTCCTAACACAGACATCTAGCGCAATCTATAGGATTATCACATTTTATTTGAGAGATCCAAAACTCAGTTTAAAATCTTTATTAAAACAACACTTGATAACCCAAGACATACCTCCGTCTGAACCATTCCATGTCTCTGTAGTCGCATTGTACGCACCAAATCAGAGATGTCAAACTGCCCAAAGCAAACAGATAGTAGCAGCAAGTGAGATATTATAACAAAACCACACATATTCAGAGCAATAGTCCTGTATTACAGCAGAGAATTTACAATTTACATTCTAGTTTAGTAGACCAATATTAGTCAAATTCCAGGAAAACCACTACATTATGAGCATATGCAGAAAGCTTGCAGTATGGCCTGTATCAGGTGCAATAAATACTGTATGTGAGAGCTTTGTGAGTGTGTCATTGACCTTTCCCTTTCATTTTACCTGCTCCAACATACCCGTTTATTCCCCAGTCTTTATTCTAATAAAGCTCAATCTGGCAGGGTGCTGCACATTCTGCCCTTAATGCAGCATAGCACTCAAGTATGAGCTCAACTTTCAGCATGTTTACACCCACTTTGATTTCCATGAGACTATAAAAGTGCTCCAAATTCAGCATGTGTGTGCTTACATGCCTTGTTGGATGAGGCTCGGAGATGCTGCCAATACATTTTACTTTACGCCTAGATGATAGGAAAATGATTGCTCCATGAACTGGCAGTTGGGACAAGATTCAAATGTGGCTGCCAGTGTCCTCCTGTGGTCAAGAAAATCTCTATGAAATACGGCATGGTATCCCAAGTTCAAAAGCTCTCTTTCCACATCACTGACTGAGGCACAGGAGTTGAAATAGTGACCTATTCTGTAGTAATAGATATGTAGCCGTGTTAGTCTGGTCTAGATGAAACAAAAAACAGGACTATGTAGGAAGTGGGTCTGGCCCACGAAAGCTCATCACCTAATAAACCATCTTGTTAGTCTTTAAAGTGCTACATAGTCGTGTTTTTTGTTTGACCTATTTTGGTTTTGCTTTATTACAGCCTCCTTTGTGTGGATGAAAGATTGGTAACTACTGAATTCTACAGCTGTTGACTCTCATAACTGCCCCCAAAGGGCCAGTCTGATTTGCTTTTTGTTCTAAATATTTGCTTTAATGGAATTATGCAGCCACACGGGGTGAAAGTAATTTACATTTCTTATAGGCACTATCCTATTGCAACCCTCACCTCTTGAAGGGGTAAGAAAGGGGGGGAGCAGTCATAGGACAATACTTATAAGAAATGTAAGTGTTGGATGGAGTGTGGGGAGCTTGTGACAGGGGGTTGGTGCTGGTGTGGTGGAGTTCAGGGCAGGAGGCTGGTAATGTGGAAATTGTAGGAGTCAGGGAAGGTAGTTCAGAGGTGTGGGGGGCTCTTAAGCAGGGGATGCAGGAGTCAAGGTAGGGATGGAGAGCTTGGGGCAGCTGTGTGGGGGTGTAGAAATCATGGCAGAGAGTTGGTGGAGGCTTAGGACAGGGGGTTGGGGATGGCAGGGGGGGGGGGGGGGGGGGGGGAGAGGAAGTTTGGGAGTGAGAGTGTAACCAGCAGATCCCTGGGGCAGCAGGGACCATGATCTTTGGCCACCCAAACATTGGAGCTGGCTGCAGAGATATGGACCATGCTGCCCACGCCTTAAGCACTGGAGTGGCGGGGGCTGCACTGCCTGGCCAGCTGAGTCCTAGGACTGAAACCTGCATGCACTGTGGCTGGCAGCATCCAAAGCCTGGCCCGCAGTTGGCCAATCTACCAGTGTACTGCACCAGGGCGCCCTGGCTTACTTTCACCTTTGCTGTCACATAACTGCCACAAAATGGCCAAATGCATCCTTTCTGTTTTAAATAGTTGCTTTAATTGAATTATGAATGTCATAGCGTACTGTGTTCAAAGAGACCAAATCTTTGGAAGAAAAATCAGGGAGCTTCTTAGAAACCTGAGTATTAGATAGTTTAATGTTGACTAAAGCACATTTTATAAAAACACTGTTAAGAAGAAATGTGAATACTTAATTCATTTACCATAAACAATTATTATATTCATTAAATAACTTGGCGTGATAGATTTATATTTTTATTTTTTTTATCATTTTGATGTATGATATCAATGTTTATTTTTAAGCTTTTAAAATGATCTATTTACATTTTCACAGTTGTGAAAAATTATGGGCCTTAAAATATTTTTTCATTTTTATTGATTTAAATTCAATCAGAGGAAGTTAGGTGGTAGTATCAGAAAAGTTATTTAATGACAACACATATTGAGATTCAAAAAGCTAAAGGTTTATAACCACAAATTGTCAACATCACATGCCAAAATATACCAAGTAAATATTATACACCACACTCTAAAAGTTCTGAACCAGCAGTTTTTTTGCTTTGCTTATCTGTAAATTTCTACCAATACACCATGGAAGTTATTTTTTTTGCCTGTTCATGAGTGTACTGTGAAACTGAAATGTCCATGGAAGTTATTTTTTTGCTTGTTCATGAGTGTACTGTGAAACTGAAATGTAGCAAAATTTACAGATAAAAATCTTACCCTTCTAAGCCTATAAAGATACATCTACACAGTGTTTTGGAGCCCACAGTGGTCAGTTTCCTAGCGCCATTGACAAGACTTGGGTTACACGGGCTCATACTCTAAAAATAGCTGCACAGACAGCTCTTGGAATTTGTGACTTGGGCTGAAAGTTAGGTTATGAAACACAGGGACATCAGCTGTTTTTAGGTTTTTTTCTTATGCTCATTATTTCTGGTTTTCATAGTTCATGCTGTTTCATACCAGGTTACCAAGGTTAAGGTATAACCAGAGTCCTTGAGTCAAAATATTTGCAAATTAGAAAAATAACCTAATAGCTCCTGTGGCTCACAGTTCACTTAGTCAAAAGCACAGCTCAATCTGTCCTCCGGGTACTCACATCAAGATCCTTGCTGATTAATCCTAGAACCACATCAATACAAATAAGTGTTCCTGAACGTCCAATGCCTGCACTGCAGTGAGTGATGATTGGCCCCGATTTATGAACGTGCCTCATGTAGGAGATGAAAGTGAGCAGGTTGTCTGGTTGAGATGGTGTGCCATGGTCTGGCCAGGCAGTGAAATTCAGATGAGAAACATGTCGTAATTCACCAGTCTAAGGTTTTAAAAGAGACAGAACAAATATATACAGACATGACAGTGCGACTGACAGAACCTGTAAGACTTGCCTAAGACCATTCAGTGAACAAACAGCTTACTATAAAAGGAGACTTGCTAATAAATTGTGACCCAAACTTTACGTTTTGTAAACAGAACAGTATTTACAATGTTTTACATGAATAGAAGTGGAAATTTGTTTGAATTGTTTGTGGGAAGAAAGCCTGGAGCATATCTGACTGTGAGAACAAAAGGACAAGGACTATGTATAAAAGTGAAAGAGGCCAGTTTATTTTTATTGTCCTAGCTGCATTTTTTGAGTACAGGATCTTTCGAAAAAGGCTTTTCTTTTCGAAAGAACCATGTCTAGACCGCAGTTTCACTTTCAAAATAGTGTTTTTCGAAATAGTGTATTTCGAAAAAATGCCATGACGCGATTATGCAAATGAAGCTTGGGAAATTTAAATCCTGGCTTCATTTGCAATTTCGATGTCTAATTTACATCACTCAAAAGAGGGATGTAGTCTAGACATATAGGAGAGAAAAGAACAGTTACTTACCTGTAACTGTTGTTCTTCGAGATGTGTTGCTCATGTCCATTCAAAGTAGGTGTGCGCACCGCATGCACCGCGTCTTCTGGAGCGTTTTCCCTAGCAGTACCCATAGCGCCAGCAGGGCGCCCCCTGGAGTGGCGCTGCCATGGCGGGGCATAAGTACCCCTGCCGGCGCTGCCCCACCTCAGTTCCTTCTTGCCGGACACTCCGACGAAGGGGAGGTAGGGTGGGAGTCGAATGGACATGAGCAACACATCTCGAAGAACAACAGTTA